CCATTGCAGCTTCATCCGGCTTTTGACGTTTTCCCTCGTCAAAAAGGGTCAGCCAGGTAATCAGCAGCCATAGGCAGGGTGCTTGGTAAGAGTTTTTATACTCTGACCGCTTTTCAGCCGGGTTTTGTATACCGTGGTATGAAACCGATCTGCGCATCTCAATAAACCCCTCCAGCCTATCGACCGGGCTACGCATACCACTTTCAACGACCGCGACCAGCCATTTCCGCAAATTGAAAAGACGCATCTCCCTGCGCTCGATACTCTGCCGTTCATGTGGAAATGTCCTATGGACAGCACGCACCGCGCGCCTTGGTTTGTTTTTTCCACTCTTATCCGTTCTTTTCTCCAAGGTCAGACGTCTCCTGTATGAGAGAGATCGGCGTCGGGGGTGTGTCGCGTGCGTCGCGGTCTGAATGAATGAAATGAGCGAAGTGGAGTGAAGTTGAGTGGGTATGCATGCAGAGACGATGGAAGCAATGGTTCACATCCACCTCACTTGATCTCCATACCTCAGATGGCAGGTCGGCTCCGGGACGAGGGCGGATGCATGTATATATGAAAGCTTCATATACAGACGCCTTGCCGGGATCGAAAGATATGGATGGACTCGTGGGTGTGTACCCTTACATCAGGAGATGCCGCATACATGGGAAAAGGACATCAGAGGCTGGACGTCTTGAAGAGTGAAGCGGAATCATAGTCAATGGAACAGTGAAATGGATGTGCGGATGTGCGGATGAATGGATGGAAGAGAAGAGAGGAGTGGACGAGCAGAGCCTATCTAGCTAGGTAGCTAGGTAGTTGGCCAGCTGGCCATTTTACATATATGCCTATCTATGTAGGTACATGACACGGCCAATGTCCTCCAAAGGTACACAATAGCTGGCTGGACATTATAATACCTCGTCACTAACACGTCGCATTTTCATGTACAGTACATACATACACTCTCGCAGTACTCGGGGTACTATTCTTCACGTGAAAAGAGTGTTCGAGGAGTATTATTCGTCCCACGTTGCTGTGGAGGGGGGTTTGTTTTTACCTCGCACTCCTCAAAAACTCAACCACCCCCCTCGTGTAGCCGACCAGCTCGCTCAGGCGTGTTTCCTCTTCGACCATCGCTTGTCTCCACTCGACGACTTTCTCCCTGATGTCGTCGACCTCGCTGACGAAGTCGCCGTGGACGCGTAGAAAGACGCTCATCCAGGTGTTGACCAGTTCAAAGGACTTTCTCTGGCGGAGCTGGTGGGTGAGGAAGTCAATAAAAAGAGGCATCTCGGGGAAGGTCAGGGAGCGGATTTCCAGGTCAGCAGCCGAGGGTGGTAGAGAAGACAGGTGAGCTGTCAGGGTAGATGGGTCGTGGAGAGGCGATGAAGAAAAGGTTTCGAGGAGCGAGGAGAGTTGTGGCGACTGTTGGGACAGTGCCTGGTTCGTGGACGCGAGGCGCGAGATGCGTGAGCGCTCGGAATCGTCGATGGCTTTGGCCGGGGTGGCCATGGACATCTCGTTTTCTGGCTTGCTGCCGTTGGTGAGGCTGGTAGATCCCAAGAAAAAGGGTGCCGCTTTGGGCTTCTCTGGCGGCTGGATAGGTTTATTTCTCGCACGGATGCTGTCGAGATTTAGTAGTGTTTGCCATCGTGATTGGGGTTGGAGCGACAGTGTTAGCAGTTGCTTGTCCAGCTGGTCTACCGCCGAAGAGTCGTCGAATCCGTCAACGACAGCTTCGTCCTCCGACATGTCATCTTCGATGGCAAGTTGAGTAGCAGCATTGAACGCGGCGGCCGTCTGGCTCAAGTCAATAACCCCACGAACATCGTCAATCTGCTTGGTGGATACGTGATTGAAGAGTGTCTTGTTTGTCCAGATGAATACCCCCGAACAGCCGGCATGAGTAGTGGCCAGAAACTCTCCGGTGCTCGAGAATGCCACGTTGGTACATGTTGCATCCGTCTTGAACGCGTCGATCAAGTGACCTGTAGCGATATCAAAGACACGAATAACTGAGTCCATTGAACAAGCTGTGATCCACCGCCCGTCGTGTGAGAAGCAATAGTCGTATATTTGACCAATGCAACCCCATAACTCGCGTACCACTCTATATGTTTCAATGTCAATTATGCGGATACACAAGTCGTCGCAGGATAGGGCCAGAAGGCCTGAGACAGGGTTGTATCGAATTGCAGTGGCCACTGCGGAGTCGAAGGTCCTTCGTTCCATGATTCTGCCGGATGAAAAATCCCAGAAAATGATTGTCCCGTCCAGGCTGGTGGTGACCATGGTCTGATTTAAATTGTCAACCACAATGCCCGTGATCGCGTCCCGATGACCACGAGGCGTAAGAACCTGAGTTGAGCTGGCTTGTTGTAATTTCAACTGCTTCAGCTGAGCAGGTGTGAGTCGAGGCGGGTATCGTTGGCGATGGGCGCCAGATTGCAAGTTGAACATATCGAGACTGCCCCCTGCTGACCCAACAATTGCGAATGTCCCACAAGCAGTGATGGCCACGCTGGTTACGGGCTTGTGGTCTCCCGTTTCCAGTGCCCATCTCCCTGCTTTCTTTCTTCCCCACGACCATGTTCTCGCGAATTTGTCATCAGCATGGGCCGTGATGACACTTTCCCAGCCAGTTGTACTGATTTCTTCTGCATTGACGTTCTTTGTGTTGGCCCAAATGGGGCCGCTGACCGTGCCCATTCCACCATCTCGATTCAGTGAACAGGCGATATCAATGATTGGTGGCGCTTTGAAATCCTCCACAGCTGAGGCGTCGTCGGCGAGGAGACCTGATTTGCGGGCCTTATGCTTGACAGCGCCTTGACTGAGTTCTGTGCTTTGGCCATCTTTGCGCAGACTGAATCCCCACAGACTTCGGTCTTGAGCCGCGGACATGAGCCATTTGCCGGCGGCATCTGAACCGTCTGAAGCTGCTGGTAGGAACATGAGCCTCGTGATAGACGCAGCATGTCCGCTCCTGGAATGGAGGAGACGTGGGACGGGTGAAAAGGGGTTCTGATCAAATACCCACGTTCTGAGAGCGTTGTCCAACCCAGAAGAGACCAAGACTGGTTGTCCGGCGAGGAATTCGACCTTGTTCACACCAGTTCCTTGTCCCAAGCTGGAAGTTTCATGGGCGCCTCGCACCACGCCAACAACCTTTCCACCACGATTGAGATCCCACAGAGTGATATCGCCGCTTTGAATGCTAGATGTGGCCATGATACCCTCCTTCCGGCCGTCGTCGCCTGCACCCATCCCGTCCGTCCGAAACGTGATTGAGGTAATGGGCTTCTTGTTGTTTGCCTGGCGCAGCTCCAATACTTGTTCATCGGCCTCAACATCCGTGATCTGGAGAGAGCCATCGGCATATGCAACTGCTAGCAAGCAAACTGCAGGGGCAGGGGCAAGTGCTGTAACACCACCGGAGCGAGAGGAGGGAGCGAGGATGGTGTGGACCAGCCTTCCTGTACTGACATTGTAGACCTCCACCGAGCCATGCTTTGTGCCTACAAGCACTTTATTCAATAGGGTTGGCAGAGTGCAGGCCTGACCTGTAAATGAACCACTTGACCGATTGTTGATTGAGGTTGAAGAGGAAAGGATAGAAGTATAGTGTTCCAATGAATCGCTACTCCAGACCTCGAGGCTCTCTGTGCCACAGCCAACAATCCATGATCCAAAGACGAGCAATTGCCGGATCTCTTGAGCGTGGGTGTCGTCAACGTCCAATTCTCCTATCAACTGCCCTCTCTTGAAAACCCAGACTCCTCGGGACTCGTTGGGCTGTGATCCACCCCAGGCGACAAAGACTCGGTCTCGGTAGGCATGGGTGGCAGTTATCGTGCCAGGACATTTCGGGCGAGTAAGGAATACGAGATTAAGGCCCCGTCGCAAGTCATATGTGTGTAACGTCTCGCCGACCGAGGTGGTGATCTGGAAGGTTGTCTTTCCTAGCGGAACAGAGGTGAAGGGAACCGAGGTTGGTGATACCAGTCCTAGAGTCTGTGAAAATAATGAGCAAGGCGGATCAAACCGCGAGGGTCAGGTGGAAGGTAGAAGATCCAACATACTCTGAAGGGTGCAAATAGTCTGGAGCTGGTAGGAGGAGGCTTTTCTTTGGTAGTGGTCAGCTCCCTCCGCTGTCTTTTGGCGAGGGGCAGCTCAATTGCTTCGTCCATGGGTAGAATTAGAGTACCCTGTACCTGCCTCGCCTGCAAGTATTCGTCGTGTAAGTCGCGGACTACGACATGGAGACTACATGGCACTCCGTACCGGTAAGTAAGTGAATGTTGATCAAATCTCTAAATTTTTTCCGCCAGACACTCACCGCCCGGCAGAAACCTCCACTGACGTGGACCTGTGGGGAGTTAACTAAAGTACTCGGTCTCGTCGGTACACGCCTGCGTCCACTCCTGGTTAGGTCCTCTGGTTGAGCGACTGCCCACTTCTAGGCGGCGCAGCAGCACTAATGCCCCTCACTTAGGTGCGCCTATTTGGTTAGCCCTGCTTGTTCTAGGCTCTGGCACCACTAAAGGCGACACACTGGTTAAGCACTGGCTGACGAACCCCCACTTACTCATCCTCTCGCACACAAATTTTCGCCTCATTGCGACTTCCATCCAACCATCTTCGTCAACATGGGCGCTGACACTTGCCTGCATTCTACGGAGCACAGACAAAGAACAGCTTGAAGATCTGATCTTCCCAATGAGAGTCGAGATCGATTTCTTGTCTATTTGTCCATTTGTCCATTTGTCCAAGACATGTATTAATCCACAATCCTTTCTCTATCGTGGCGCTTCGCCATTTCCAACATATATTCTTCAATATCGTCATTCTTTGAAACTCCACTCTTTTCGAGAAAAAGCTGGTCTCTTATCAAAAGTCTCAACCTTTTCTTCCCCACAGCTTCAGCTCGGATAAGTCGGGGCATTTTCCCTACTCCATCTAAAGGAAGAAGTTCTCGGCTATTTTACTGTCCTCCTACATCATCGATCCTCATGGAGATTTATTCTCCCCTCCGTCGAACTCCTACCAGCACCTCTGAAAACGACACTGACGATAACGCTGTTCTCACTGCTGTTCAGTCAACCAGCTCCTCTACTACATCTGCCCCTCGCCCTACCCAAAGATTAACTGGCCGCACCCCTTCAACCCATTCCTTATTGGCCGCGCACAGGAATCCCGATGTCCGCAAGGGTGCCCCTGCTGAGACTACAAAGGCCTCCGCTGGCCGCTCGAGCATAAGTATGCCGCCTCCGAACACCAAGCCTAGCGCTGATAGACGTCTATCGGCCTCTGTTTCTTCAATTCGCTCAGTGAGGAAGTCTGAGGAATGTGCTAGGAGCCCGCCGTCTTCTGTCAAATCTGTTAGAAGCATTGAAGGAGACAGGACATCCTACGGCAGCTCTCCAACGGCCCAGAACTCTACAACAGCCCATGATCCCACGATCGTTACAACCACATCTACTTCCATTGCTCCCGGTCTGCCTGTGCTATCCCCTCCAGCCTTCAATCCAAGCGTTCCTAATCCTTCAGATCTAGTCTCAAATACGTCATCTCAGATCGCCTCCCCAACGACATATGCTCCCAAAAGCGACATGGCTTTACCTGCTGCGACTAGCGGCCAATCTTCAGGAACCACTGGAATTGCCGGGAAGTCTGATGGTGCAGATACCGCATTCCCTGCTCGTCCGCCTCGGATACCCCATCCCCGTTCAGCTTCCGGTCGACGCTTGAGTACTGCGGGATCTTCCAGGAATGAGAGCATTAATTCCGAGAATAAAACGCCAGTAGGCAGAATTGGGGTTTGCGCTCTTGATGTCAAGGCCAGAAGTCGACCCAGTCGTCAAATCTTGACACGCCTTCAAGGAGAAGGGGAATTTGAAGTTATCGTCTTTGGTGATAAAGCAATTCTCGACGAGGGTAAGTCTTCCTACTTCTTTTCACCCTCTAGACGAGAGGCTGACTTTGATAGATGTTGAGAACTGGCCCATATGGTGAGTAGAGCAAACAACTGCCTGGTTCCCGTATCTGAATGTCGTTCTTCTAACGCAGTATAGCGACTATCTTATCTCTTTTTTCTCAGATGGCTTTCCTCTCGACAAGGCAATCGCATATGTCAAGCTACGGAAACCATTTGTCGTCAATGATCTGGCCATGCAAAAGGTCCTTTGGGACAGACGTTTGTGTCTCAAAATCCTGGACCAAATGCAGATTCCTACCCCAAAGAGGATAGAAGTCAACCGTGATGGTGGACCAAGGTTAGAGTCGCCGGAGCTTGCCCAGCATGTGAAAGCCATGTCGGGTGTGGTTCTAGAGGGTGCAGAGGATGGCACAGGAGGCGGCACTCCAACTACAAAATCCGTTGAACTGACGGAAGACGGAGACACTTTGGTTGTTGACGGGAAACCATTCAAAAAACCCTTTGTCGAGAAGCCTGTCAATGGAGAAGACCACAATGTTATCATCTATTTTCCCAAGAGCCAAGGTGGCGGCGCCCGACGACTTTTTCGCAAGATCGGCAACAAGTCTTCAGAGTATGACCCTGAATTGACCGTTCCAAGGTGCATCACGGAACCGAACAGCAGTTATATCTATGAGCAATTCTTGAAGACGGAAAATGCCGAAGACGTCAAAGCCTACACTGTAGGTCCCCATTATTGCCATGCCGAGACGAGGAAATCGCCAGTCGTGGATGGTTTGGTCCGACGTAATACACATGGCAAGGAGCTGAGATACGTCACGAAACTTAGCGATGCAGAGAAAGAGATGGCGGCCAAAGTGTCACGGGCTTTTGGGCAACGCATCTGCGGTTTTGACCTCTTGCGAACCGGGTCGGCGAGCTATATCATCGACGTCAATGGGTGGAGTTTTGTCAAAGATAACGAGGACTATTACAACGACTGCGCAAAGATCCTGAGAAATATCTTCTTGGCTGAGAAGTGGAAACGCGAGAATGCCCTTGGGGAAGAAGTGCAGGTCGAGAATGGAGGCGACGGTTCTCAGAGCCGCGTAGGCACAAGCCATTCAGCTCGATCGGCACTTAAGACGATCTTGAAGTCCCCCAGCATGACGAAGCTTTCTCAGCATCTGCCGCATTCGTCGAGACACCATCATCCGGTACATGCTGGTTCGCCCAAGACTTCTTCCTTAACCACGCCAATGAGTTCGCCACCAAGCATTGAGAAGATCACTCAGACTCTAGTTGTACCAACCGCGGGTGAAAAAGACAGCACTTCTCCATCACCTCTTCTTGCAGCCCCCGATGCTGCTGAGAGTGCTCCAGGTACCACGGCTCCTACCAAGGAAGAGGGGCCTGCAGCTCCTATGCCAAGTTCCAAGCATTCATGGAAGCTCAAGGGCGTGGTCTCGGTCATCAGGCATGCTGACCGGACTCCAAAGCAAAAACTAAAATTCACAGCTCACTCCCAGGTGTTTGCCGATCTGCTCAAGGGCCATCATGAGGAGGTGCTTCTGAAGGGTGAAGCTGCGCTGGCAAGCGTGCAGACGGCAATCAAGGTTGCGCTGAGAGACAAGCTTGAAGATCCAGATAAATTACGCAACTTGCAAAATGCATTATCCAAGAAAATACATCAACCGGGCACCAAGGTACAGATCAAACCAATGTTCCGCAAAAGGAAGCCAGAAGAGATGCATCCATCGTCGGATGCCGACACTCTTACCACTATAGAGGCTGACCACCAACTCCTCGAGGCAGTCAGCAATGAGGAGAGAAAAGGATCAGTGTCTAGCACAAAAGACTTGAGGCGAATGCAGACCAGGAGTGATTCAATGTCTGGTGCCACGTTTTCACGTTTCTCAGCTGCGGAGAATGATCTTGTTCTGGACAAGCTGCAACTGGTCATGAAATGGGGAGGGGAGCCTACGCATTCGGCTAGATACCAGGCGCAGGATCTCGGCACCAATATGAGGGACGACTTCAAATTACTAAACAAGGAAGTGGTCGATGATGTCCGGATCTTTACGAGCTCAGAGAAGCGTGTCAAGACGAGTGCTCAAATATGGGCCGCGGCATTCCTCGACCGCCAGGATCTGCCCGAAGATTTCATTCAAGTCAGGAAAGACCTCCTGGACGATTCCAATGCTGCCAAGGATGTGATGGACAAGGTCAAGAAGAAGCTTAAGCACCTCCTTCGCGAAGGAACTGTCCCGGACTCGTTTGCGTGGCCAAAAGACGTCGCAGAGCCATATGTTGTCATGCAAAATGTGGTTGACCTGCTCAAGTTCCATCGACAGGTGATGCGGCACAATTTTAAAAAGCTTTCGACCGGCGCTGTGGCTTCACTCAACGCAATAAGTGGCTCTGGAGACGGCAAAGACGGTAACGGGCACAACAAAGAGACGATCAGCGTTGCCTCGATTCAGTCTCGATGGTGCACTGGCGAAGATGCAGAACTGTTTCGAGAAAGATGGGAAAAGCTGTTCTCGGAATTCTGCGACACCGAAAAGGCAGATCCGAGCAAAATCTCTGAGTTGTATGACACGATGAAGTACGATGCCTTGCATAACAAACAATTTCTCGAGTGGGCATTCACTCCCAGTCAATCGCTCCTGGACGAAATGGCGAAAGACGAAAGTCTGTCGTCGAGGGCGTCCTTGGAAATCGACAGAGCAGAGGAAATTTCGCAAGCCACGAATGGCTCACGTCATGAGAACGATGTCTCGTCTAATGGTGGGACGCCTGAGGGCAGACAGAGTCTTGCTCAAAAGATTGGATTTAGAAGACAATCAGTCCTCAAACAACCACTCCCGGCGGCTCCTCTTATGTCGTGGGAACAGGGCGCTTCCTATTTCAAGTTATTCAGCGGATCTGGCGATGGTCGGCCGAAGCAAGATCAAAAGCTCGGTCGACTAAGAGAGCTATACCGATACAGCAAGATTTTGTTCGATTACATTGGCCCGCAGGAATACGGTATCAGTGATGAGGAGAAACTCGAGATTGGTCTTTTGACATCATTGCCCTTACTTCGTGAGATCGTTGACGATCTAGAAGAACTACAGGCAGCCGGTGACGCGAAGTCATTCATCTACTTCACCAAGGAATCACACATATACACTCTACTCAACTGCATCATGGAAGGCGGCATCCACACCAAGATCAAACGCTCCACCATCCCAGAACTTGATTACCTCTCCCAAATCTGTTTTGAACTATACGAAGCTAAAGACGCCGAGACAGCCGAATCTACCTACTCGATACGCATCACCATCTCCCCTGGCTGCCACACGATCGACCCTCTGGATGTCTCCCTGGACTCCAAGCACGCGATTGGAAGCGCTCCGCGGCGATCGCTGACAAACCATCAGGATTGGAAAGAGGTGATTTCTACCTTGAAAGCGAAGTTCAACACAGTGCAGCTGCCCAAGAGCTTTCTGGCGGTGAATGTGAGTGAGAAGCATGAAGAGGAGGCACAACGAAGGGCCAGCTTGTTGCAGAGCGAAGCAGCGAAGGAGAAGCATGGACGTAAAGAGGGAGAGGACAGCGAGGCTGGAGATGTATTTGAGAATGCCAATGTACAAGACAAAGAATTCTCACTGGAATCGACGCCGGGTATTCGGCAGTTCGTTCCTGTACAATTCCTGTCTGCAGAGGATAGGACTGACGCAAATGTACCTGCTGAAGAAGGAAGAGGCGCTTGAGTGGCCCGCGGTCTTGGATATTGCAGCCTACAGAACAGTCAACTCCAACGGCAACGACAACGACCAAGGAGACCGGAAAACGGCCCACTTCCGCCATGGCCAGGGTCATGGACAGAGAAACAGAAGATGGGCAGGCACAGTCGATCGCGGTATCATCCTGGTGGGCTTGTGTCACAACCCCGAGATTCAGAATATGAGATTAGATGTTAGAACTAGAGTAAACGCACTAGAGTCGATTGGTGTACAAATATCAAGAGCATTGAGGGTTCAGTGGAAACGTTTATTGCTGTCTGGAATAATTCCCAATAAGACGTTCATGGCGGAGCAGTCGGGGCAGGCAGGATTGTGTTATGTATCTCTGGATGTATTACCTGGAGAACGATGTCCCCGATGCGTCTACCCACGCTCTCGCTTTCTCGCTTCATGCTCGAAATCAGCTCCCCCATTCTCGTCCTGATACCAGATGCCAACCATATTGCTCCGATCTGAGTCCATCCGACCCCATTCCCCCATTCCCCTTGGCCCAGAATCTCCAAAGCGCCCGCCTGATGGAGGTCTAAGTTGGACAAAATGTTGTTTGCGAGCGAGGGTCTGTACGCATGTACTCTCGGACATCACGAATCCGGAATGCGCATTATCCAATGCACCAGCAACTCCCTCGCGGCCATGGCGTCCTCGTAGCTATCGTGGCCTTTTTGCGAACGGTGGCTCCGGGTCCGACTCTGGCTCTGGATTTGGCCTTGGGTTTGGGTTTGGCTACCAACCACTCCCGGCCGATCAAAGCTCAGGAGACGAGGACGCTTGACCTGCACGGCGATGCCCAGTTTCAGCCTACACAGGTTCTGCAGGCTGCGACCGCCCTCGGTCTTGACGCCCGTGTACCCCTCGAGGATGTGGGTGTCGATGACGAGCGGGTGGATCCAGCGCAGGGCCGAGAAGTCGTTGCAGCCGCCGTGCACGACGACGATGGTGTCGGGGCCGACTCTTCGGTGGTCTCCTCCTCTTCCTCCTCGGAAGAGGGCGTCGCGTGCGCGGTCGCGGCCGCCTAGGATCGCCGTGCCCGTTCGCACGGCCTCCCGCATATCCGCCGCGGTCACGCCAGAGAAGCGCGTGTTGTAGTGCGTCATAGCCACGGCGGGCGCGACGAGCTTGTCGATCAGCACGGCGCCGCTGAAGAAGTCTACCGCCGTCAACCGGATCAGCTCTGGATGCCCTGTCGCGGCGACACCCATTTCGCAGTCGAGAGCGATCGCTTCTAGATGACGAGGTTGGTTTGTTCTTTCTTGTTGTTGTTGTCCTCGACCTTGCCTGTGGCCGCGTCTTCGAGGTCCGCTGAGAGGAGAGCCATGGGCTCCACTTGCGCTGGCGCTGGCGCTGGCGTTGATGGCTGGATTCAGTTGCGCAGGATTCGGCGGTGTCGTATAGAACTGCCAGGACTTGTGGAGCAGAGGATCGTCTGGTTCGGGGAGAGTATGTTCACGAGCTTCAATGCACCCCCCGGTTGTGACGTGTTGGCCGCAACATGTAAAGGCCTAAAAAAAAAAAAGATTGTTGGTCAGAAGACATATGATGATATATGGATATGAGATAATTGGGTCGGTCTCGAGTTGTACCTTGTTCCTGACCCCACCCGTGTGATATGTGCATGATGGGGGAGGAGATTTCTTCTTGGGTTTCGCCGTGGATATGTTCGGAGTCTCGTCCTCGTTTTCGTCCATGGCTTCTTCTTCCTTGGTGTCGACAATGGCGGTTAGAGTCAGATCCAGATCCGTCTGTGTCTGTGTCTGTGTCTGTGTCTTCTTGTCCCCATTCACGACACCTGTGCTGGCTTTCGACTTTTGACGCTGTGGTCCAGGACGTGGTGCTCGTTCTGTCCCAAGTTTCTCAAAGTCAGCCCACGCCCTCGAGACGTCCCGTCCCGCCTTTGGGACCCCCTTTGCGCGGCTCAAAAAGAACCTCCGCGTCTCTAATCTCCGACTTCTCAGACTTACTTCCACACCGCAGGCATCTCGCCTTGGCCTCGATCTCAGCCGCATTGAGCGGTTTGGTCACGTAGCCCTCTCTTTCCAGCTCTTTCTGGCTGTGGCACAGTAGTCGGAGCTTCTCGAGGCAGGAGGGCGAGGGTGTGATCCGGGACCAAGCGATTTCGGAGGTGTTTGGCACTTTGGCCTCGTTCGCAGGCCATAGAGGATGAGGAGGAGGAGGAGCTGTCGGCGCAGTAGCCATGGGAAGCGTGGGCAAGGCTGACAAGTTCGCTTGACTTCTTTCTCTCTCTCTGAGTGATGAGGCTGGAGTACGGTGAGGGAGGAGGAAGAAGAATCAGATACAGAAGACGAGGCACAAGATCTGCTCACCTACAACTCACCCGCTCAGGATATGGAAAGCCGCGATCTGCTTCTCAGTTGTTATGTTTATATTTCTAACAACGGACTGCGGCTGAAGAGAGGGAGGGTGAAGGGCACGACGACAAAACCACCAGTGCCAGCCAAGTGTCTGTGAGAGTGACAGTCTCAGCCCAATAATGCTCTCTTCACTTCAACAGCAGTAAATAAGGCTCAGAAGCGACGAAGGTGGTAAGGCAGCATCAAGGTTGCCTTTTTCCACCCCCACTTGTTATCCTGCTGATGATGTGTCCATCTGCTAGGCTGGGGAAGGCATGTTCGAGTCCTGAATGGCTATTGTCTGTTCGAGTCAATAGGGCAAGACGAATCAGGGCCTGGTCTGTGGTTACACAGTTTGGTAAAGTTGCAGTAGCCTCGAGCCGGGACAAAAGACTTATCACATGTCGGTTAATGGAGGAACATGGCGGCTGGAAGAAGTTGGTTAGAGTGGTCTATCATAAGGCTGCTAGACAACGTCTCGCATTGACACGTTGGGTTTTGTCGTGAACTGTATTTGAATGCCTTTTCTCATATAGCGTGTCATACAGCCTTGAAATATTACGGCATATCGTGTCCTTCTTCGTCAGTGTCAATGGGTTGTTGATGTATAACACGACGGCGTCACCCTGTCAAATCGATAATGTCCCTGCAGAGAACCAGGAAAACATCCTGCATCATCACCTGGGTCATTCTTCCCGTTATCCATCAGGCATGTCCCGCTCACAACGCTTTGTTTTGATATTCATTTCAGCCCGTTCTTAGCCTTGAAAGCAGCAAGTAAGCCAGCCGTCGACGAGTCGTGGTCAGCTCCAGCGCCCTCAGTCTCAAGTTCCTTCTGAATCTTCTTTGCCAGGACCTTGCCCAACTCGACACCCCACTGGTCAAAGCTGTTAATGTTCCAGATCGCGCCCTCGGTGAAAACCATGTGCTCGTAGTAAGCGATCAAGGCACCGAGAGTACCAGGAGTGATCATCTCAGCGAGGATATTGGTAGTTGGACGATTGCCAAGGAAGGTCTTGTGCGAAACCAACTCATCGGGAGCACCTTCGGCCTTGACCTGGTCGGGTGTCTTGCCAATCATCAAAGCCTCAGCCTGAGCCAGGAAGTTCGACGCCAACATTCGCTGGTGGAGGCCTCCTTCCACTGGGTTGTGGGACCGGGCAGCAATGATGAAATCGGTGGGAATGAGTTTGGTGCCCTGGTGCAAAAGCTGGAAGAAGGAGTGCTGCGCATTCGTGGCTGGTTCGCCGAAAAAGATGGAGCCGGTTGTGTACTTGACGTAGTCACCACTCCGGGTGACAGCCTTGCCATTGGACTCCATGGTCAATTGTTGTAAATAGGCCGGGAAACGGTGCATGTACTGGTCAAACGGCGCGACCAGATGAGTCTGAGAGCCGAAGAAGTCGGAATACCACACACTCAGGAGACCTGCAATCACAGGGATGTTTTCGTGCAGAGGCGCAGTCTTGAAATGCTGGTCCATGGCATGGGCGCCAGCGAGGAATTGGTGGAAGTTGTCGTAGCCAATGTAGATGCAGACGGACAAACCAATAGCAGACCAAACAGAATATCTGCCACCAACCCAGCTCTCGAAACCGAACATGTTCTTGGTATCGATGCCGAATTTGCTGACCTCTTCAGCGTTGGTGGAGAGCGCCACGAAATGCTTAGCGATGTCCGACTCCTTTGCACTTTGCAAGAACCATTTCTTGGCTGTGTTGGCGTTGGTAGTGGTCTCCGCGGTCGTAAAGGTCTTGGAGGCGATGAGGAAAAGCGTGGTCTCAGGATCCGAGTCCCTGAGAGCCTCAGCAATGTGGGTGCCATCGATATTGGAAACGAAGTGGAGTTTCATGTTCCTGTCTCCGTACGGTTTCAGGGCCTCTGAGACCATGACGGGGCCACTGGGAAAATGTCAATTCCGCACAGACAACCTGCCACAGGGTGGACGAGAGACTTACAGATCGGAGCCACCAATACCGATATTGATGATGGTCGTGAGCTTCTTCCCGGTGTACCCAGTCCATGAGCCGCTGCGGATCTGCTCTGAAAACTCCTTCATATGGTCCAGGACAGAATTTGTCTCCTCGACGACGCTTTTTCCGTCCACTGCCATAGGCTGGTTGGAAACGTTTCGGAGGGCGACATGGTAAACAGCTCGCTTCTCGGTGAAGTTGATTTTCTCGCCAGCAAACATCTGGTCTCGCAATTCTTCAAGTTTGGCCTCCTTTGCAAGCTTTACAAGAAGGTCCAGAGTCTCTTCGGTCAAGAAGTTCTTGGAGAAGTCAAAGAGCAACTCAGTATTGTCTGCGGAGTTCTTGAAGACTCGCTTAAACTTTTCGAAGCGTTGAGGATCTTTTTCAAACTGTTCCTTGAGGACGATGTTGCGGCCCACCGCATTGTGGTGGTCAACCAGCGCTTGCCATGCGGAGAGGTCGGTAGCCTGCGCGAAACCAGGCATTTTGGTAGTGTAGGAGCAGAGTTGAGGGATTGCTTCTGTAGAGGGTTACTGTAAAGAGTCAGTCAATTGGCCCTGTAGCTGCGGGATGGTGAAAGAGAGGAATGACAAGAGCTTTGCTCTGATGCCAAAAAAAAAAACCAAAGCAGAAGGTGAGCGATAGC